ACAAGGACAAAAGGTAGGGGTAGAAAGGGGCAGGGAGGCATGTCAGAGTAGGTATATAAAATGGAAAAATTGCTAGCTTTTGTGGATGAAGAAAAATACTAGAATTAGAGGCTGAAAGTGGAAGCAGGAGTAGATCTTTCAAAAGAAGCAAATCAAAGCAACAAACAGTTAAGAAGAAAAAGACTAAAGGGACCAGGGAAAGGGGAGAAAATATGAACCCTACAATTATCTATATTCTTATTGTTAAAAACAAATGCTCCCTGAATGATTCAGGTAGTGGTATAATCCAAACAAGTGATCTCCCCTCCTCCTTAAAGAAGAAGATACAAATACAAAGAAATAGCTAGTCTGCCTGAAATATTCATGAGCATAACCTCCAACGCTACACTGTATGACAGGAAAGGAATTCTACCAGCCTCCTTATCTAGCTTGCCCATGATTAGTGTACACAAAAAGGTACTATAGTTCTGTTGGTGCACTTGAAAAAGGCTCAAGCCTTTTACCTCTCAGAGTATAAAACAATGCTCCTTCTGGCAGATGCTACTGCTAGGGCCTAGTCTGCAGTCCTGGAAAGAGATAGGGAAGCACAGTGTTGCTTTGCTATGCAGGGACCAAATGAAGCAGTTGAAAACTCAGTTGCCACAGAACTCCTGTACATGTGTCTTTGCACACTTTTTGCATGTATCATCAATAAATTCTATGGCTAGACTTAAGCAGCATATGGTTGTTCCAGGGCTCATGGTAGATACTTAATAAATGCATCTGACAACTAAGTCAGAGTGAATTTAGAAAAACAACTTGTTCTTTTTGTAATCTGGAAAAAGATTCTTCCTACAGCCATGTCTGAGTCCTCAGGAGCCAGACTATAAAACGAAGGGTCTTCAAGGTCTGGTTGAAAAAAGGAGTTTTACTTTTGAAAGTGTAGCATGGATAAAAGGCCCCAGACAGCTTGGTCAAGTAGGACTATGGTCTATTTAGGGGAGATGCTGATTATTAGGATAAGTCATCCTCCCTAATTCTGGTCAGAATGTTCTGAATTTCATGTTGGGGTTGGGGATCAGGGTGTGGGGGAGAGAGAGAAAGGAAAGGGGATCCAAGGATAATCTAGTGCCTATGGTCAACTGAGGGTCAACTTGGACAAAATGAAGTCTACCTTTAGTAACCTTCATTCATTTCAAATGATATCCTGTGGTGGGCAATGCACCTAGCAGTCTTGGAGAAGAAGACGAAGGGAAATGCACATATATAGTGCCTCCTAAGTGCCAAGCACTATGCTGAGCACTTTACAAATATCTCATTTGATCCTCATGACAACCCTGTGAGATGGGTAGTATTATTATTCCCACTTTACAACTAAGGAAACTACGGCAGACAGGGGTTAAGTGATTTGCCCAGGGTCACACAGCCAGTGTTTGAGGAGAGATCTGAACTCAAGTCTTCCTGACTCCAGGCTCAGTGATCTATCCAATGGCGCACCTGGTTGTTTCTATGAATACAAAGATGAGGGGCAGCTACGTGGTGCAGTGGATAGAGCACCAGCCCTGGAGTCAGGAGGACCTGAGTACAAATCTGGCCTCACACACATAACACTCACTAGCTATGTGACTCTGGGTAAGTCACTTAATCCCAATTGCCTCATAAAAAAGTAAAATAAAAAGATATAAAAGGAGAGGGAAGTAAGGAAGGAGGGTAGTCTGACCCTGTGACCCCTTTTTGGGGTTTTCTTGGCAAAGATACTGGAATGGCATACAATTTTCTTCTCCAGCTCATTTTATAGATGAGGAAACTGAGGCAAAGAGGGCTAACTGACTCAACCAGGGCTACATAGCTAGAAAGTATCTAAGGTCAGATTTAAACTCAGCAAGAGGAATCTTCCTGACTCCAGGTTCCCACACTCTAACCACTGCACCACCTAGCTAACCCTATAAGCCTACCACTTTCTGATAGGATGAGGACTTCTCCTTTGCCAAGGTCACTGAAAATCTTTACGGTAAATTTACTTGTCTTTGCTTTATTATTGAAAATTTGGAAATTTTTTCACTGATCCTTGATTTAATCCAACTGTAGTGGGATCCAGAAGCCTTATTAGAAAGTTCTATTCTAGCTTAACTATTAGTATTATAAAATTCCTCCTGAATTGGTATAAGTTTAGACTTCAGGCCACCTTAGTGTTAAAAGCCCTTCTAATTTCCCACCAATGATAATGGCTTTTTTCTTTACTTTTCAGCAAGTTTTCTTACTTATTCTAATTCAAATGTGGGCTATTTTACTTGCCTAAATTTTTTAGATCAGGTTAGTTAGAAAGATATCCTTCTAGACTTCTTAATTTATGAGCAAGGAAGATTTGCTGTTAGTGAGCTATGCTCACTCTCCAAAGAGCTGAAAATGGGAGATTATGACCTCATAACTCCAACTCTAAACCAGCTTGGTGAAACTGCACGACTGCCACTTCCCAATCAGGAGCAAGTAACTTTCTCCTTTCTTAAAGCAGTCATCTTCCCACTCCGAAGAGAATTTCCAGTCACTACTTGCTAGCTTAGTTGTTACCTGCAATTTCTATTAAAAAACCACTTTGCCCAACAGCTGAGGTGGCACTAGCAACTGTTTTGTAAAGGCTGTGCTGCCAAGAGGGTTCCTCAGAACTAATTCTAAAAGAAATGTCCTCATCAGAACAAAACATTCCTAAACAACACTTTCAAACAGTAAACTTGACAAGGTTTTAAAACAGAGTTAAAGTGGTTTTATCACTCCCACTTTAGTGGGAATCTATTAATAATATGAAATGTCAGTGTAATCTCTGAAAATATTTCAGGAACGAATGTTAATTTGTCTACCACCCACCTCTCCAGCTCAACGTACTTGTTCTCTTTTCCACTGATGACTTGAATGATTCTTTTTTTCTATTTCTGACATGATAAGCTTAATGGACACAATGTATTCTCAAAATGTTACCAAACTCCTTGAAATTGTGACTCATCTTGATTAAAGAAAGCTACAGGGGCAGCTAGGTGATGCAGTGGATAGAGCTCTGGCCTTGGGCTCAGGAGGACCTAAGTTCAAATTTGACCCCAGACACTTGACACTTATTGACAGTGTGACCTGGGCAAGTCACTTAACCCTGATTGCCTCACCAAAAAAAGAAAAGAAAAAAAAAGAAAAGAAAGAAAAGCTACAAATCCACAGAAAAGGCAGCATGGATTTGGAGTCTGAAGGCCTGAGTTTGAATCCTGACACTTCCACTTACTACCTGCACATCCCTGGACAAGTCATTTAACCTGACTAGGCCTTAGTTTATTCATTTATAAAATAAAGGAGAGCATTAGAAGACTTCTAGTGCCCTTTCAAGTTCTATGTTCTAATGCTAAGAGGAGCAAAATATAAAGTGAACATGGTGCTCTCTTGTAAATTGCAGTTAAATGTGGCAATTTCCCACATGGATAAAACATAGGTCTAGAACAAAAAAAATCTTTAAATGGGTTTTAACAGTATCAATTAATAAACTCTGAGAGCCAAGTGGTAGTACCACATCCAACAAAATCCTCAAAGTTCATCTACATATAGGGCTGGCCCACAGCTGCAACAGTCCTTCAGAGGTCATTCCATGTAAAGGCAAACCTAAGGAGCCCAAGCTAGGCCAAATATGCAGCCCTGGGGCTACTATTTCAGTCTTTTATTTTTTTCCCAGTTGGGTCCAGCTCTTTGTGACCCTATGTGGTATTTTCTTGGCAGAGATACTGGAGTGGTTGGCCATTTCCTTCTCCAGCTTATTTTACAGATGAAGAAACTGAGGCAAACAGAGTTAAGTGACTAGCCAAGGGTCACAAAGCTAGTAGTGTTACTATAGAACCAAGTAATGGTTCTATATGGGGGGGGAAGAGAGAACGAAGGGTTGTTGTTAACCAAATAGTTAATCTGCTAGTATTCCATTAGGAGTTGGCTCACAGCCTGAGGCAGCCCCTCATTTTAGAAAGAAATAGCCCCAACTCCAGTGATGTAAGACACCGTATCTAGCCAAAGACCCTGGAACAATCTGTGGCTGAAGTACTGCACAACTGAGATAAGAAAGGCAGGATTTAATTTGATCACATTGAACGGTATTACCTGGGCTTCTTCACACGCTGCTCTCCTTAGCAGGTTATCACTATCAAGGTAAAAGAAAAAAGGAAATGGACATTAGCTTTCAATAAAAAGTTTAGGATTCAAATAAAAGTTTGTTTTGCAAAACATATGTAAACATTCCTTTTAAATTATCACAAAAGTCTTAAGGAGCAGATAACACAGCATGGAAAAACTTGAAAAATAATCTCTGCAGAGAAAATTCTCTGTTGGTTATTTCTACAGTCTCCATTTTTATTCCTTCCCCAGCTGAACTGCTCTGGTCATCGGATAATGATGAAATAATTTGTTTCTTAAACTGTTTTCTTTTTCCTGTTATTTCATTTAAAGTCAGACTTCTCTGTCTTTTTTAGTGTCATTGTCTATGTTATCATAAGTAGAACATTTTTGGCATAACGTAAAGATCAGTTTGGAAAAAAATTCAAAGGAGGCTGTCAGAAAAAGTCCATCTATTTAGCCTCAAGGTTTTTAAGAAGCTTTTAAATACAATTTGCATCATTATGGCACCAAGCAGCTCTTCTGACTAACAATTCCACACTCTTTTCAATGGAAGGTTCAGTGCAGAATGGATGTAATTTGCTGGCAGTACTAAGATAACAATTTCAAGTGGTTCTAGGCCATTACAAAAATCTGTACTTGGACTGGGCAACCAAAAGGCAATTCATTAAAAAATAAATAAATAAAAGGAAAAAAAGATCATTATACCTTCATTCTTTTCTTCTCTATGCTTTTCCATTAACATTATTTAGTATTCTTTACATTTCAACACAAATTCAAACCCATTTTTTGTATCTATTATTGAACTAAAAGAAAGAAAATAAACAGTTTCATGCTCTTTACCACAGCTACAGGGAAGAGCTGCTTACTTATTTTCTTATGATACAGCAAGACTGGAAAAAAACACACTGCTAACCTCTAAGAATCTCTAAACTCCAAGTTAAATAACACCACTCATCTGGGAGGTATAAAAGCTGCTAGTTTGAATGATATTATCTAAGAACAAAGTTTCATTAAAATTCCAATGAAACAAGAAGGCTACTTGCCTAGCTGGCTTTGCAACATGAATGTAATTTAGTGCAACCATAGGACCCCGGATAGAAGGTCCCTAAATCTGAGTTCCCTAAAGCTCTGTTCCAATTCTTCTGTTCCCCCCTCTTTCTACACCCTCTTTTGCTCATCGCCTTTCATGGATTCAATTGTCATTTCTATAAAGATGATTTCCAAATCTGTATTCAATTCTAAAACCAGTCCCAATCTGTATGACCTGAACTCCAGTCACACATCTGCTCCCTGCTGGACATCTTCACCTAGATGTTCTTTGAGCATCTTACTTAAAAGTCCAACACAAAACACATCTAACATGTGCCCTTGTTTCCCCTGAAACACATTATCAACAATCAAATCCTCCAAACTTTCCCATTTCAGTTGAGGGCATCACCATAGTTCTAGTAAAACAGGGCGACAACTGAGGAGTCATTCTCAACTCTTCCTTCTCCCTCATTCTTCACATTAATCAGCTACTGTGTCTTGCTAATTTTATCTCTATAGCATCCCTCACACCCATCCCCTCTCTTCGATGTCAAAGCTATGATTCTAATTTAGACACATCCCCGTCCCCCCATCTGAAATAGTCTCTAAACTTCTCCCTCTGGTTTCAGTTTCTCCCCTCTCTAATTCATCTTCCATACTGTTGCTAAAATAACTGATCCTAAAGCAAAAGTCACTCTCCTGCTCAAAAATCTAGGCTATTACTTCCAGAATAATACAATGAGTTCTCAACATGGCATTTAAAGTCCTTCACAATTTGGCTCACAGCAACTTTGCCAGAATTATTTCATACTACTTCCTTTACATTCAATCTACTTGCTATTCCTTCAGACTTGGTACTCTGTATCCACTTTGGTGCCACTGCAAAGGCTGCCACCATGCCTGGAATATCCTCCATTACCTCTCAGAAACCTTGGCTTCATACAAGGCTCAGGTCAGGCACCACCTCATATAAGAAGCCTTTCCTAATTCCTCTCGTTAGTTTGTTTGTAGGTCAGGTCCTCAGTAGAAGATAAGTTCTTTGAGTGAAAGGGCTTTTTCCCTTCTGCCGCTGTATGCCCAATGCACCTCATATAATAATGTATACACAGCACAATGTATGAGGCAACCCTAGAACAGAAGACTCTTCGCCAAATTCTATCAACATTTGCTTGTGCAACTATGTATTAGGGGGCAAACTGTAGCCCAGAGAAGGGAATGTCATATCCATGATGAGTTTTGATCATGTGTGATATAACTTCCAGAGCAATATCCCTTCCTACATAGGGGATCTCAAGTAAAGAACTGGAAACACATACACATATTAACATTACATCACTGCTTGCTAATTATATTCCTGAATTTTTAAGGGGCTTCATAATACAAATTTTCCATATCCTGTAAATAAGGTTCTTAACCTGGGGTCCATGAACTTAAAAAAAAAAAAATCAATAACTGTATTTCAATATAATTGGCTTTCTTTGTGAGTGCATATATCTTATTTTATGCCTTTAAAAACATTATTCTGAGAAGGGGTTCATAGGCCACAGCCAAAGAAGTCCAGGACACAAAAAAGAACCATATGTGTCCAATATCCTGTAAAATACTATGCAAAGGCAGGCCCCATATTGTATGTATATGACCATTTGCAAGGCTAACAAGAAGCTCATTAATCCATTTTTTTGAACCAACCAATTCTGATGCCCAAAGACCACAAGATATGGAACTTCGGAAGAGAGGGATAAAGAAGTAGGAATCTTGGGGTATAAATCCACAAAGACCTCTTTACCACCTTTTACCATCTATAAAATGAAGAGAATGAATGATATGACGTCTCAGGTACCTTTCAGTTCAGATCTTTTATCTTGTAACTGAGCCACTATCTGCATTGGCACCAGGTAACATGGCCAGAGATGTGTCCCCTTAAGGAACTGAATAGATATGAACAACAGGCTGGAAATAGCCATGACTCACCCTATCACAGATAAGTATCTCTGCATCATTGAAAAAAAGTGAAACCAAAGCCAAGTGTGGGCTCTGTGATACTGAGGGGAGGGCAGTGTTTTCACTGCTGTATAAACTTCAGAGATGGGAGGCTCTGACCACTCTGGCAAAATCTGTTAAAACAGTACCACAGCCTTTCACCAGCCCCTACCTAGGTAACATGATGCTACTTAACTGTTCTGGAAAAGTTTTAGCTTATGGTAGAAGAGCCAATAAACTGTTCATGACCTTTGACTCAAAGATCCTACTATAAGACATATACTCTAAGGAGATCAAAGGCCAAAAGGTCCCATTTTTTACCAAAATATCTGCAGCAGTTCTTTCTGCAGCAGAAAAACAAAGAAGCCTGGAAACAAAAATGAGTAACTATAAAATTGGGAATGGCTGAATAGACTGTGGCATGTGAACACAATGTAATGTGACTGAACCCTACAGAATGACAAAGAATATTTGGAGAACTACGAGAAAACTTGTATGAACTGATGAAAAGTGATGAAAGCAGAACAAAGAAAAAAATTCCCACACTAAAATAGCACTAAAAAGGCAACTGACCTCAGGTTAACAGCAATAATCAATGATAGTCCATTAAAACAAAAGATTAAATCCACTTCTCAACTCTCAATAGAGAGGCACAAAATATTGCACATGCTATCAGAAGCTGCTTTGTTAGCTTTGCTTAACCGTTTTTGTTGTGGTTATTGTTACACAACAGAATGCAATGTGGATTTACAGGGAAATGGCAGATGTAAAAAATAAAAAATACTAATAAAAGGGGCTCCAGGAGCGGTGTGGGCAAAGGCGAGATGGGCAAGTGCCACGGACCCTGCACGGCCCAGAAGCTGCACAGCCATCGGCGGGACCAGAAGTGGCACAACAAGCAGTACAAGAAGGCCCACCTGGGCACAGCACTCAAGGCCAAACCCGTGGAAGGTGTCTCTCACGCCAAGGGCATTGTCCTGGAGAAAGTGTGTATGCAAGCCAAGCAACCCAATTCTGCCATCAGGAAGTGTGTGAGAGTCCAGCTGATCAAGAATGGCAAGAAAATCACAGCCTTTGTTCCAAATGATGGCTGTTTGAACTTTATTGAGGAAAATGATGAAATGTTAGTGGCCGGCTTTGGTTGAAAGGGCCATGCTGTTGGTGACATTCCTGCAGTCCACTTCAAAGTTGTAAAAGTAGCCAATGTTTCTCTTCTGGCTTTGTACAAGGCAAGAAGGAGAGACCAAGATCATAAAGTGATTCTTACAATAAATTTTTTATTTAAAAAAATACTAATAAAACAAAAACAAATCAGTTGCCACCCAGGGCAATGGCCTGGACAGAGCCTTGGGTTAGTGGACGTGGCTTAGACAGCAAAGGCAACTAAAAAGGAGTGGTCAGACAGGTAGGATAAGAACCAGCAGACAGCAGTGCCATGGAAACCTAGAAAGGATGCAGTATCTAGGAAAAGACGGTGATCAACAGTGTTGGCTGCAGAGAGGTCAAAAAGATTGGTGATTGAGAAAATATTACCCTGGCCTCTAATAAACTTCAAGAATGTACTCTGAGTTCTCAAATTCTCCACTATCTGGTACTCTGAGCCTCTCTTATTTGGGACTTCCATTTCCTTTTCAGGGTCAATGGTACCATGCTTTCACAAATATATTAGCTCAACAGAACCAGGAAGGAAAAGAACATTGCACACAGTGACAGCCACATTGTGTGATGACTGACTTTGATAGACTTAGCTCTTCTCAGCAATACAAGGATCTAAGACATCTCCAAAAGACTCATGATGGAACATGCTTTCCATATCCAAAGAAAGAACTATGGAGTTTGAATGCAGATCAAAGCACACTATTTGCTATTTTTTTTCTTCTGTTGTGTTTTATTTCCTCTTTCTGGTGGTTCCTCCTATTGGTTCTAAATTCTTACTCACAACATCACTAATGTGAAAATATGTTTAACAGGAATGTATATGTATAGCCTATATCAGATTGTGCACTGTCTTGGGGA